CATTCAGGATTTAGCTGAATACATATACTCTTATATAACAAAACTTGTCATTGAAATAACAGCCCTGGGTATAAACATTCAGACTAATTTCGATACGATTCAAGTACGATATTTACAAACAGAAAATTTCAGGTGCACTCACATATTTCTTTTCAACAAGTTACTACGGCCGTTTATTCACAAAAATATTGCGTTGGCAAGATATTTGGGCACGGTGCCAGACAGTTTCTCTTTCTTCAGAATAAGCTGATGGTGACTCACATAGCTTAAAATTGAATGCAATTTAGTGCAAAAAATATGCTGGGAAGAACTGCTATACATTATTTGTGTTTTTTATGTAACCTGCATTAATAATCTTAGATGATTTTTTAAACTTCTTAACTTTTTTGAAAATTTGTTTGATATTTTTGCATATACGGTATTAATAAAAGGTCACGAAATAAAACAATCACAAAATTACGTCAAAAATACTATGTTTATTATCTCGTATATTGACAACTATTTGTCTACTACTAAGTCATTTTTCAAACGTCTTTGTAGGTTTTTTTCGAACATAGCTAATCCCAGGGAATTACTTTATTTTCTGTTGTTCCCCCATTATAATTCTCTTATTTCTTTACTATTTTTTCGGGGGTCGTTGTGAGAATTTTTCATTAAGCTTACGCATTCATTAAGCATTAGGAAATAGTGAAAGGGAGGCAGATCTAAACGGTGACAGTAAACGAACAGTCTACATAAGGTTCTCTTGCTTTTCGGACGCAGGTTTTCCCTGTAGATTGCGAGTGACAAGCCCACGCCCCGGCTACAGCGGTTCGCGATGCAAGTTTAACGTGGCGGCTGCGGTGGTCTGTAGGGAAGTTGTCGGCGTCCGCTGTCTCACGGCGTGGTGGGCGCCAAATCCGACGCCCGCACGCCCGCTTCACTTTCCTCTTCTTCTCAGTCTCTCCTTTCGCCCCAGCCACAGGTGGCCCACCTCGGCGTTGGAAGCACCTGAAACCTCGAACCCCATTCATGTTTTGGAAAAAATTCGTTTACCCATGCAGATGACTATTCAGGTTTATCAAAAGGGTGAAGCGCTTACGTTCGGTACCGATTGTGAAGATCCCATCTGGAAATCCTGGATTCGAGTGCCGACGGGGGCAGGATTTTCGACAATAGCTACGTAGCTTGGACTAATTTAATCGCTGTCTGGAGAAGAATTCTAGCAGGCGGCTGCTCTGACTCGTCTTTTTCGGTAGGTTCGCCGAGAAACACCGGGCGATTGTGGGAGCAGTACCGAAACAAAGGGGACACGGATCGTGCGCGATCTTTCCTTACTTTCCCTTGTCCTATCCCCACCCCTTACTTACATATCCTTACATTAACATACGCTACTCTACCGCACATGTCGGGAGACTGGTCGGGAGCGTAGAGCTTGTTCTGACTAGGGCTGTGCCCTGGTAGGAGTTACCTGTTTGGGGGAATCGCCGCTAGCAATAATCGGCACCGAATTTCGCCAACCAGCGGGGGAAGATTACCAGCACCTCTCGAGAAAAATCATGCACGGAACTAATGACCTTAGGAATTGATGCTCCCGGAATCACTAACAATCAATCAGTTTTATCAAAAGAGTGAAGCACTTAACATTCGGTACTGTTTATTAATATCCCAGACCAACTGGTGTTTAAGGCTTATTTGAAAGCTCGGGGTATAGATTAGTATTTGAATTGGCTTCCCACACTTTATAATCTGCAGGAAACATTGTACTCCTGTAACATTTGGCACCGATTGTAAAACGTATTTGGAAGCGTCAGGATCTGTTTCATTTCCTCAAAGAGCGTCCACCTTCGCAGGCATTTTTTTCACCAGTCTCAAATACACGGAACGTTTCAGTGCCGTTTAAATAGAACACAGCCGACTATGATTATTTTTTATCAATCTCTATTTCTTTTAAGGGAAAATCTGGCATCCTAGCAAGTAGTTGCGCTTTTCCGTTTTCTTCTACTTATCGGTTACTGAAGTTGAAATTATGTTTTCCGCCGTCCCTGCTTCAGTGCGTTTCGCCAACAGCTTTCGTCGAGCCGATGAAATACGAGAACCAGCTCAGGAAATGACATCCACAGCACACTACTCTGTATCTCTTGCTGTTGAAACGTATTTATCGGTGACCGGTTTTGGAGTCTGGAATGGGAGCGTCATTAGTCGTCGAGGATTTGTTTAAAATTACTACGTGTCATATAAATACACAAAATGTGGGTTAGTGCTCGAAGATCTTCAGTCTGCTTCACGGTCGACAGCTTTTACTTATAAGATTGGATGTGTGTGAATAAAGTACTTTTTTATCTGAATAATGCCCTCTACCTCTCATGAATGTAGAATCTATGAAATGTGTGTATGAAAAGGTAAATATTTTACATTTATTTCCCATGGAATTATTTGAATCCTAAAAATTTCCTAATTTTGTGTAGTGCTCGAGTACGTATAAAAAATGTGAAAGATACGTTTCATATAATTTTTAAAAAATCCCAGTTTGCTATTGAAACTACTTCGAAGTATTGTCTGGCAGTAAATAACCAAATTGGTCTGAAACAAATGGAAAAGTGAAGGAATTCGGGTCGATCAAAATAGTTGCAATCATGTTTCTCATGTTTAGTGTGTAAAATCTCGTAACCTTCTTTTGTTACTTAAGAGTCGGCCGCCCTGCCTCCAGCATCACGTCTCTTCGCCTGTTTCACCTCTTCACCATCTCCTTTGCGAAGGCTTGCGAGTCGTGTGGTATCAGCTGAAGAGCTGTCACGATCTATCGGTTAGCGGAGAAAAGCAATACAATACGTGACTCTCAAGTGTCGGACAAACTGTCAGACAGGGCGTGCTCGCAACGTAGTAGATCGGAGAGCTCCGACATGATCCGTCATTTCAGTACCATGCCGCATTATGTGCGCCGTGTGGGAGATGTCGGCGAATGAAAGTTAACGTTCACGATGGAGTTTTTGTCTTAAGAGAGGTTTCATTTCCTACGTCAGATCTGTTGACACACTTCGAAAATCAAAGGAAAAATTGGTTATTTTTAGTTAGTTTCTACATATAGACTGGTTTCTACTAATAGAACTAGCATCAAAAGAGTGGCAAAAATGTGGTTGTTCATACATATCATACAGATTTTTTTTCTTCGTTTTAAAGTAAAATCAATTTTTTAATGCACCTGTAAACGAATTTGTATAGCACGTAGACCTATAATGACTTGGATTCCTGTGATGTATTTCAGGGTTACATAGTGTCTAAGTTTCAAAAAAAGAAGAATGCTGAGTGATACAAGCTGTGATTTATTAAGTGTATTATAGAACATACGATATTGAAATGTTTGTATGCCTTGTTATCTTCCAAAAGACGTCCCCATTAGATGAATAATTCAACCCGTTGTCGGTATGCTTCCTAAATACAAAATAATTAATTGTTACAAAACAGGAAAAACGTTTTATAGTTTTATTTAAAAAAATATATTTTTACATCTCGCGAATGATTGGATAATTCCTTTCAATATACCACGAAATGTTCTCTTATATAAATGTATATATTGTATATGTCAAAAAATTCAGAATCTAGAATTGAAATTCAGAATCTAGAATTGCGAAGTATTAATTCGAGCACACACTTTCCGCAACGCAACTGTATACGATACGCAACTTAACAATTTCTGTCGAGATATTTTGGTTAGTATTCCTGACCAAACCGACAGTTTTTACTTTTTTAACAAATGAAATATTTAATTACTTTTGTGATGAAAGGTAACTTCTCCTTCGCCTGCAATCAGTTAAATAATGTACAAAACCCCGAATACTGGGTTTCATAAACATATTAACGATACCAGTGCCAATATCAGTTCATCACGCAGCCACCGCTGTCGTAACCACTCATTGCCCTAACGCAGCGCCGTCTATTTACCTAAGTGTTTCGGGGTAGAACAAAAGAAGCCAGGTCGTTGCCGCCGGGAACGAAGTGTCAGGTCGAGTGGAGCGAGGCAGCGTGGCACGGGCGGGGGCGGTGCTGACAGCGGCCCCGGGGGCGGATCCGGCCGCGTGGCAGCCCGCCCCACTGCTCCGCGTGACCGCCCCCCGCCCCCCGCCCCCCGGGCACCCGGTCCCCCGCCCCCGCCCCCCGCCGCCCCGCGCCCGCTGCCGCGATGAGACGATAGGCCCCAGGCGGCGAGGTGCGCCGCACCACCTCCGACCGATTCCGTGCTCCGGTTCTCTGCGGCGAGCGGCGAACACCAGAGCTACAGCAAAATGTAATATAGTAAAGCTCCGAAACGCATTGAAGATAATTAGTAAAGCATTTTATCACAATATTACATATCTACCCTAATATGTAAAGACACAAAGGCGTTGCGTTTCAACGTCATAATCTCTGAGTGTTCAGGATCAATTTCAATGAAACTTATATGCCAGCTTCCATTGAAGGTCGGGAGTGCTGTAACCTAAGTTTTACAACCACAAATCTTAACATGTTTAAAACAGTAAGGCAGGTCTCATTTCCATTTTACTCGAATATTAGAAAATTTCAAACATTACAAATAATGCGAGAAAGAATGTGTTGCTTTAGCACAGCTAACTTGCTACAATTTTCCGTCAAGATGATGTCCGTGATGATTATTTTCCGTACAGATGTTGTGTTCTAAAATCTCTTAGATTGAAACTTGCGTGTTATTTCGACTTTTTTGCGATACGAAATCGCTGTTCATGTGTCTTTACGGAAAAGTATTTTCACACAAATTCCTGTAATTTCATTGATCCAGCATAACATTAAATTAATTTAAAATCATCATAATTACAAATATTTTTGGTCTTTCTCGTTTCATACTTCGGTATTCGCGTATTCTTATATTGAAGACCAATATGCAATCCGCATGGTGTGAGTGTGTAACAACCACTCATTACGAGAATATAGTGAATAATATATTGAATCACATTTATTTCTTGGAAGTGATTTGCTAATGTCTTGATTCTTTTGTTTCAGGTGAGTACGAGTTATTTTCGAGAACATGCAAAATAGGGTGAGTCTTGTTGCCTTTCGCGATCGTAATTTCCTACACTCCGTAATTCACGCCCCCCTCTGCTCATTAAACGCGTGACACTAGCGACTTGGATGACTCCGAACAATACACAAAGTCGTTAAACGTTGGCCTTTGCTCGCATAGGGTTCTGCTAAAGTTGGCAGTGCCGCAGTTCCAACTGTCGCATTGTTCCGATTTGCTCGCTCATTGCGCATTTACGAGTGAGAATCCCCTCGCAGCGACCTGCCTTGGCAGGATCTGCTGAGTCGCTGAGCTGTCGAGCTGATTCCAGTATTGCCAGGTGTTTTTAATCATTTCCCACTAGAAAGCGCCGCAAAACCCACCATTATGAACAAATTTTAAGCTACAACAAAACCAAAAATTTCAAAAAAATTATTACTTAATTTTTAAAATATTTGAAAAGTTATGGGAATTAAAGGAATGCGATAAATATTATTAATTGTGTATGATGTTTTTTTTATATTTTGCAGTAAACACCCATATTGGTAATGCATAAAAATATATACAACCACTATTTATATAATAATGTGCATACATGTTACGGTATAAGATACATTCTTCGTAGGTGTGTTAACTAGCCGCTTTTGGGAAAGACATTCTGAGCTATTTCGTACACCATGACATATATAAGCACATTGTATATGTTTTGTTTTAATGAGTTTCGCACTGTGAAACTCATTAGTTATAAATCTTGCTCACACTCATTGTAAAGACTGAAGAAAAGATTAAGATGATAAATCATTGTAAAACTTTTCTTCAACCAAAATTGTTGTTTTTAGTTCTTTGTTATTGCTGTTATTCATTCCTTTTGATGAAATGTGTTGCCTTCTCGTATCAATCTTTGCTTCTGACTGTGAGATTTAACCGCCCAATTTTAAACGAGGGAATTCATTCCAATATTCTCAAACTTCTACAAATGTTTTTACTAGGCTTAGTAATATTTGATTAAAAATATATGCAATAATCATAGGGAACTGGTTCTGGGTATGGTGATTTCATGATATAAACAATCGAATTTTTTTAAAATTATCATTTAAAGAACTGAATGAATCCCAACCCAAGAAAGACCCCTAAAATTCCACTTAAGACAAAAAAAATTAAATTGAGGGGGAAAACCCCTAACCTGGCAACACTGTCTGATCCTCCGGCGTGGGAGGGGGAGGAGTGGGACAGGGGAACCCCCCTTGCAGTTGGTACGCCTGAGGAGCCGGTGACGCGCCGCGTCGGTTTGCGCCCCAAACAGAGCAACTTTCTAATTGAATTCTGTTGTAACGGCCGTAAGAATTGGGCTGTGGAGTCGCCACGAGCGCGGGGGCCGTTGGATCTCCAGAGGGCGGACGGCAGCGCTGCCGCAGGCGAGGGCGCGGAGAGTAACGGGCGCTGGGGAAGGGAGAGGACGGACAGTTGAAGGTGCCCTTAGGGCGCAAGGGTGGGTGAGTAAACTGGATGCGGGGTGCGTGAGAAGGAAAGGCTACGGAAACACCTGTGATTCTGCGGATATTTTAGGGGAGTTTTGCATTTCTACTACGTGGTCCAGAACGGTTAGTGAATATTTCACGGTAACTTCCAAATTTGTTGCTGACTTATTTTGTTTGTTTTACGTTTGTGAGGAGTAAGTGAAACGACAATGTTTCAATACTTTGATGTACTCATTCAAAAATCCCAGGCAGTAAGAAAGTTTCTACTTACCTCGGGAACGGATAAGATACGATAATAATGGATACAATGTACGGCGTCCGCTGTAGAGCCTAACTTCATCGACTGATCCTAATTTGTAGACTCTAGGAAGCTTACTTGTTGCTTCATGGTTTGAAAACTTGAAAGTTAATATTTGGGGTAAAAACTTGAAAGTAAATATTGGAGTCACAGATATTGCATAGATTATCAAAGAGATAATGCTTCATTGTTTAAGAAAGTGAAAATCACTCCGAGATCACTATGAATTTTTAAAATGTCCAAATACGAGATAGTTGAAACCCCTTCAATATGACCTTCTCTGAGAAAGGTTAAGTACAAGTACAGTGAAACACGATCTTCTATCTGTGTAAGAACATTTAGTTGTCATTTAATTTTATGTGTTTATTTCTAGTTTTAATGTTACATAGAAATTCTAGTTGTTAGTGGGTTGCCATTCAGGACCTTCAAATCCTGGTAAATGATTGGAAAGTATAAATTCGCAGGAGAGTACAGCAGGAACAGTAAAGTGAGGCTTGTCAGGGCGCGGTAGCGAGAGTACGGAACGTCAAGGCAGGTCAGAGCGGGGAAGGGGAAGGTAGTTCTAAACAAGGGACTAGAGGAGCTTTTCGGGACAGGACAAGGCAGAGCAGGGACGGTGCGATGGTTAATTCTAAATGGGGGCCAGAGGAGTTGTTGAGGACCGACAACAGCAGGCAGAGCAAGGTAGGGGAAAGAAGGATAGTGTGACGTCATGGACACTCACAGCGACCACAGGCACAGAGCTTTCATAAAACAAATATATTTATTAACAAGAAAACAAAACAAATATATACACTTAATAATCCATTTACACCCTAGCGCTGATAGACCTGCTATCCCCTGATCGCGGGAGCGATCCAAACCCGATTGAAGATGGTTTTGATTGTGGCACTCCTACTTTTGAAGCGCGCACAAAGCCTAGCTTCCGTGACCGGATGTCACGCTGGGACACAAAGTCCGTTCTGGCGCACCAATGGCTGGTTTGCCTCGATCGCAGGAGCGATCTTATCCGATTGAGAATTGGCGTGAATCGTGGCACTCAACCACTCTTCACTCGGAGCACGCACACAGCATCGCTCGCCCGTGACCGCAGTCACCCAAGGACCTAAAGTCCGCAGGCTTCGTCAACTAGTGACTCAAGCCTCGCGAGCCTGGCTCGCATATGCACCGTCGTGGCGCCAAGTTTTGTGCACACGCACGAGGTTCTCCCACTGTCTCCAGAACCCACCTACTGGCTCTGTACACTCTGTTATAAAGGCGAGGCCCACGTGACCTACTACGTCACGCCACCCCCTCGCTTGTTATAACAATGAAAAGCTTCTATAAGCCGGAAGACGCCAAAACCTTGTGTCTCCCGTTTCCGCGTTCATGCCTTTACGGAAAAACCCTTCTTCCTGTGGCGAGGCTAATCCTCTGCCAAGCGTCCCCAAATAGATGCCATGAGGCACGCTGGCTAATACGTTACAATAGTCCTAAATGGGTGCCAGAGGGCCTATGCGGGCCAGGAAAGGTAGGGCCGGGCAGACCAGGGGTGGAAAAAATAGTCCTAAATACGGAGCCAGAGAGGCCGTGCCAGGAGGCCAAGCAAAGGTAGCGGAGGGTATTACAGCCCTCAATTCGGGGACGGATGGATTGTTAGGGCTAGGCTAAGTCAGGCAGGGCAGGGCAGGGAGGGTGCGGTGGTGAATTCTAAACGGAGGTCAGAGGGGTTGTTGTGGCCAGGCCAAAGCAGGCAGGGCAAGGTAGGGGAAAGGAGGTTAGTTCTAAATGGGAACCAGGGGCTCTATGCGGGCTAGGAAAGGTAGGGCAGGGAGCCAGAGGTGCCGTACAGGCCACGCGAGGAGAGGGGGGACAGTTCTCAAAGGGGGGGCGGAGGGACTGTGAGGGCCAAGCCAAGGCAAGGCAGGGCAAGGCGGGGCCGTGCGGGGGATGGCGGTGTTGGTGGTGGAACCCCAAATTGATTCCGCCAGAGCTCCGCCCAATTGGCTTAGCCGCAGCCGCCGCCCACGTCACCCCGCGATACCGCGTAAATTGCAATTTCTCTTATTAATTTACCCGCGGCCGCCGCGCCGCGTGCTCCGGCTCATCCCCACAAGCGTAGACGCGCCGCCCCTCCCGTCTCCACCCCTCCCTCCCTGCACCCCTCTCCACAGATTAACGCAAAGTCCGCTTCTTTGATCCCCGGACGAAGAGAAGGCTGTCGTTGGGATGTATCTGCTCATACGTTCGTAGTCCCAAAATTGTTGTCGAGTGTTCGTGTGCTCTCTATTAAAAATGTAAAAAACGTAGAGCACCAGATTTTCGTTCAATTAAGAAACTAAAATACCCAATAAATGATGTTTATCTTCCACGCTGAGCTTAAGTTTAATAAGTACACTAATACAGAAAGGTTTTACGAATACTATTATACCTATTGTCTTTAATATGTTCTTTTGAAACGTTTTTATACATGAATTAAACGAATACATTTAATTTATTTTTAACACTTTACCTTGTTAATATTAACAATATGGCTTTTGTATAATTTCGTACAGTCAACAGCACATCATACGCGCCGAATGTATCAGATATATAGGTGGATTCTTTGGACATCGAAATAGTAAGATAGTTAATTCAAACGTTATAAGGGTGGCAAGTATATCAAAAAGTCCACGGTGAAAAAATGTTTATCCTTTTTAATTGTTTTGGGAAAGATGGTACGATCAACTAAACATTTTGTGACTAAAGGGTCAAGAATAATGGTTAAAAAAATAATTGATTTAAATGCTGTCACAAAATTGTGTGTAGTATTTATGTAAAACTAGTTGAATCCCATCAATTACATAGCACAAATGGAAGAGTTGTAAAAGTTACAAATGAAATGCATAATATATGCACTAGAAGGAAAATCGAAAACCTCAAAATATTGCTTCTTGTGGTTCAGAACTTACTCTGCAAGAATAATGAAATTAGAGATTTGTTCTGAATAATGCTATTCACCATACACATAGAGTAAAACAAGTTTCGAGTAAAGATGTATTTGAAATGTTTTATACTCACCAATATCTGTATCTGTATGATGCAGTGGATTAGAGCACGAAATTCTGTTCACCACTTTTACTTAAGGGAGTAAAGCATTCTTATAATTATAAACACTTGAGTTTTATTGTAAAGCGACGCATGTGTCCAAAAATTGCTGGACATTGCATTTATATACAATCACTAATATTAGCATTCAAAAACACTCTATCTATGAAATAAAAAAAGAAATCTCTGCCAGTCCG